TAATTGTGTTTTAGGGATCCGACTGACTCTTGATATTGATTCAAGTGTACTTAGGTGGAAAGGGCGATAACTTCCGTCTAGGTCAACAAGGTGTTGCACGACTAACCTAGATTGGGTACCCGACCTTTGTTTGAAGGTAATATTATTCTAAATTAAGTTCATATGGGAAACCATGGGCTTGGTGAAAACCAAAGTTACTATAGAGTCCAGTAGTCGGGTACATTTATATTAATGCGCTAACCTGTAATTAGAAATGATGATTGTCTTAACTCAAAGGTGTACATCTAAGCGGGACTAACTAAAGTATTTTAGAACGAGCGCGCTGGTAGCGGCCATCTAAAGTATTAGTCAATTACCTCTGTTTAATATTCAAGACGGACCCGAGTGTGACCGTGAGGGACGCCTTCGGCCGAGGCGATTTCTCTGAGCGACATGAGCACCCGAATGAACAGATGTAATGGTTAATAGTGAAAACAAAAAGTTCAAACATTCTTCCAAATTCCATCTAATTTGACAAATTATATATCATCATTATTATTATTAACTATTATAAATAATATATATATAACATGGAGTCAGATAAAATTATGAGATAATACATAAGAGGTATATTTTACTTTATTGAAATGTCTGCTGTTTATGAAAAGATAGTGACGCGCAAAGATCCTTCTGCCGCACCATTGGCTGCCGCCGTTGGACCAGTGGGCCGGACCTTACAACTATAATCTAGTAAAAGCTGGGATCTCTGGGCATGTCCCCTGCAACAGAAAAAAAAAAACTCTCATTTGGGACTGAGGTTTCTGGGACAGAGAGATATGATTTAGCCAAGGTTGACAGCAGTGGGTAACGTTGTGCATTGTCTTTCCACCACTTGAGAGGACAAGCCATGAGTGAGATAGAGGTCTCTTTGCGGTACAAGTCAATAGCCCCTTTCACACAGTGATACCGGTAAATATCCGGAAAATTTACGGAACGACTTTACCGGTATATTCAAAAAAGCGCTGTTCACACAGGCGAGGACGTTACGGAATTTTTCCGGAAAAGAGCATTCACACATCCATTCCAAAATACCGGTAAATTCTGACATCATTCACCACAAATGAGCTTTAAACGGCTGCGCTTGTATTTGTAAACATTTGACTAAATTACAAACTCTGTGGATGATCAATATTGTGAACAACTTTCGCAGGATCACTTTCGCATTTCGAGATGTTCATAATATGTGCGTGTGCAGGCGCTCACAGGCTGTTTCATGGGCACACGCAAAGCTTGAAGGTAAACAAACAACGGCCTATCATAAGCATCTCATCGATGAATATTTACACAGTTGGCGTTAAGAAGAACATATAAACGTGATCTGACTAACTTCTAGCAGCTAAATGTGTCTGGGAAAATATTCAAAGGCTTTTATTCTCATAAACCGCGCGGACGTAAATGCGTCTGACTGTTCTGATTGGCTAAAGCAGACGTCTTACGTCAGCACGTTCTAGACGTGCACACGCTTATTCCGGAAATCTTCCTTCTGCGTTCACACAGCGCAGCATTCCGGCAAATTGCCGGTAATGTTACAACTTCTCTTTCCGGAAAATAGCCAGAACGAATTTACCGGTATTTTCAAAAAGGACCTGTTCACACATACAACCTTTCCGGAAAATTGCCGGTAATTTTCCGGAAAGGTCTGTATGTGTGAAAGGGGCTATTGTCTGCATCAATCTAACAAGTGTGCTGTGTTCTGCAGTCCCCATGACTGTTTTTAGTCGTATTCCCCAACTTATATGTGGCTGAGACTTGGCCCAGATATGGTCTGTTTTTGGCCCTTGTCTGGAAGCCAGATTTGGTCCAGTCATGTACCGTAATTCACTGCGGCATGTGGGCCAAGCAAAACCTGATTGTGTGGGCCAGAGCTGGGCCAGAGAAATTTTGCTATGTGGGATGTTTGCGTTTTGAAATGCCGTTATCTTGCAAGTTAGTTTCTGCTTTTCCAAATGTCACTGTGTTGCAAGTTAGTGTCTGCTTTTTGAAATGTGAAATGTAGGTGTTGTGCAATACTGGGCCATCGTGTGTAATAATTAAAAAAAAAAAGCACAACACAAACACCTAGGTGGCTCTATGAAATAAAACAAGAATGACAAAGTGACGCAAAAGCTTGGTTGTTGGTGATGGGTCGTTATGTACTCTAATACTAATGCTAATACTGCAGGTAATAAAACTATCCACCATTCCCCCAGTGCAGACTTATAAGGCTTATAAGCGTGTGACGTCACGCAAAGTGGCTTCCGGGTTCAAGCGCTCTATTCAACTGAATGGGGAGACTCATGAAATGGTAATAATAAACGTTTACAAAGCGATTTAATGCTTTCGAAAATCACGATCTCAGTATATATGTCCATGCCTAATATCCGATGGCCAGAAAGTGATTAATTTTTTTATAAATTGTTACATTTTTGGTATTTGTGATGCAGCAAGCCCAGAGATTGTTGTGTACACTATGATTTTATATAAAATGAACTTTAATGTGTGATGAGTGGCGGCTTGGACCCGGAAACAGTATTACATACGTCACAAACATGTCACCACTTAACAAGCGGATAGGAAGAGGGTCATGTGACACATCAAACTTATTGGGAATTTCACAAGAAATTTTGACGTTACTTTATTCTTTCAGGAGTTATTTACAAGTTTCTGACCACTTATAACATGTGTTCAGTGTGCTGCCCATTGTGTTGGGTTGTCAATGCAACCCTCTTCTCCCACTCTTCACACACTGATAGCAACACGGCAGGAGAAACGCCAGCACAGGCTTCCAGTATCCGTAGTTTCAGGTGCTGCACATCTTGTATCTTCACACCATAGACAATTGCCTTCCAGATTGGGAGATCTTGAGGGGTCATTCAACTGGCCCACGACGACCAATCCGCTTTTCAGGAAACTGTTCATTTAGGTATGCACGGACCTGACGCCCATAATGTGATGGTGCACCATCTTGCTGGAAAAACTCAGGGAACGTGCCAGCTTCAGTGCATAAAGAGGGAAACACACAATCATGTAGCTATTTCAAATGTCCAGTGGCCTTGAGGTTTCCATTAGCCGCATTTCCACTATCGGGCCAGTGCGAGCCAGGGCTTTAATCGGGCCGGGCCGGGCCAATAGCCCGGGAGGTTGAGAAATGAGGCTGAAATCATGTCGCATTTCCACTGTCGGCTATTAGCTCACAGCGCGTCACGCAAACACCGCCCACAGAACGTCCCCGAATCAAACGTCACACAACCCGCCCACTTCAGCGGGAATGAGGCAGACAAAGCACACCATAGAATCATCACGAAACGAAACCATTAAAATGAAGACAACCGAAACAAACAAATGACACGTTACTGTACAGCAGTACATGAAATGTCTATACGCACAGACCTGTGTATTTCCATTCATTACATTTGTTTACTCGCCGACCAACTGTGCATGGTGTGCTCTCGCCACTAACGCAGGGACACAACACAGAGAGCGCACACATCCATAATATAAAGCCACAGAAATTCTCCTTTATAACTCGATATGGCATGTATTTTTTAACATCCTCGTTTTGATAGAAGTCGTGTTAAGTTTTCAGCACAAGAGCGAGTAGCCTAATAAAATATAGCCATATTTGTTGCGCTCGGCTATTCACTAAAACTCTTCATTTAAAGTTTCATTCATAAATTTAACCACGTCATATAAAAACATAAACAGTTGTTTGAGGATATAGAACACATTTTGTGTTTGTACTTTCCCCCATATGCGTTTAAAGCAGCGAGCGCTGCGCAGGACTGAGTGACAGAAAAAAAGGTATAGGCTAGATTCTGCTTTCACTCACCCAAATAATGCTCTGTTTGCGCGATTTGATTAATATCATCGTATCCAAATACTTCATAAATATTTACTTATATAAATATTTACTTTATATAAATATTTCAAACCTTCTCCTGTGTTTATTGTTTTTAGAAAATATCGAAAATCTTTTTTTTCCAGACAGGTCTTTGTAAAATGAAAGTTAGGCTATATGTGGCTTTAAAACGTTTTGATATATGTATTGTATATAGGCTACCTACATTGTTATAGCTAGCTTTTGTTTATTTTATATTGGTTTATTTAATGTGATTTTATATATATCCGATATTTGTAATTCTTTAAATTATATTTTAATATAGTTTATCAAGATATGACAATATATTGTTTAAAGTCTACGAAAGTGGGCACGTATTTTGTTAAGTTTTATGTCTTTCTGTTGTATTTATATTGTGTATTATCTCCAAACAGAGCTGTGAAGGAGCGCTTTTGCCCGGTCTCACACACACATACAGGCATCTAAACACGCACAAACAAACATTTTAAACTTGACAAAAACTCTCGAAAACCTTTACTGTCTGCTGTGTTTTTAATATGGTGTAAAGATTATTATGCGCTATTGAAGCATAAAGGAGGACGCAGCAAAAAACATCACTATATATTAAAACTACTTTGTTATTTTATGCAGCAGCCTTACATTTAAAAGGGAAACATAAGGGTGATCATACGCAAAAAGACCCCAGACTATAAGGCTAGATGTTTTCTTTCCCTTATTTCTTTATTTGTTTGGCGCATGTACTCATGTGCGATCAGAAAACTGCCCGCCTCTTTTTTCACTCTGCCCCGAAGCCCCAGCTGGCCCTCCTTGGCCCAAGGTATTCGGCGGGCCGAAAAAGGCCGGCCGCTGGCCCCAAGAAAGCCCCGCTTTGGCCCGATTAGGCCCCGGAAGTGACAGTGGAAACCCCACTGGCCTTGGCTCGCCCTGGCTCGCCCGCTTTAGGCGCGATAGTGGAAACGCGGCTATTGATGAAGAATGGCCCCACTATCTCTGTTGTCTGTGGTGGTCCACTGCTACCAATGCGTATGTTATGCAATGGGGAAATGCCAATAAAATGAATAGTTCTACCAAAGCATAGCAAAGTTTCACATAACTTCTTTAAAAGGTAATTTCCAAGTAAGCAACACTTTTTGATTGCACAAATATGAAAAAGGAAGTTAGTGGTTAACCTCGACACACAAGAAGTGTACAAAAGGAGACGCAAAAACGTTTTTCTCACACATTCTTTAGAGCCATCTCCAACCTGTGTGAAGCCCAAGCATTTAAAGGGTATGTAAACTTATGCTCATAGGCATGATGATTTTTATACTGCTTCTTACTTTAAACCTCGTTTATTCTTCTCTGGGCAGAAACAATGGAGCGTCTGCGAGTCTCTCTCTTTCTTCTCCTGCTCTTCTGTTCACCGTGTCTGAGTGAAGGGAAAACTTTCTTTACTCATCTCGGCACGCTGTGCGCAGAAGACTGCAAGCCTGACGGCGGCGAATACAAGTGCAAGAGCACCGATGAAGACGGAAAGAGCCAAAGCATGTACTGTTCACCTCAGGAGAACGTGGACTTCCGGGGCAGACAGTGCCAAGCTGACAGCAAGTGTGCTAAACATGGAGAAGACTACAGCTGGTGCAGGATTAACACCTTCAGCTGGGGATACTGTGGGCTGGTGAAGGAGGACCAGACCCTCGGAGATGCTGGAGAAGACCACCACAACACTTCTCCACATCGCAACAGGAGAGATGAAGTAGTTTTAGACACCATTGATGATTTAGCTAACCGTAGAAGAACAACTTTTCTAGCAGAGGGAGCTCAAAATCACATCGCTGATGGCAACAACTATAGAAGTGAGGCTGCAATCCTAATCGGTAACTGGGATAATTCCTACCTGGTGAGCCAGACCCGTTCCAATCTGATCAAAACAAAATCTATTCGAATTGACATGCAAGGCATGGTCAACCGGCATAATTTGAGATACCACAACCTGCAGATCCAGGTGAATGTGCCACGTGGTGGAAATATGCCAAGCACTACTTTGTCTCAGGTTTTTGTACCTGAGAACATTTATGTCCCAGACCGATATGTGCGCAGAGCCTTCCAGGAGAGCATGGTTCGCAGAGCTCGTATTTTCATTGATGTTTCAAGCATCAACATTCCACGCAAGCTCATTTCAGGCTACATGTTTTGTAGAAAGCCCAAATAATACAAGAAAGCTCAGATACTGCAGCGGTTTTTAACTGTATTTTACAGCAATCTCTTACCTGTCGTTCTGTTTGACTTTCCCGCTGCTTGTACTGCTTTCTCAAATAAAGATTGATTTCATGCAAACTCAGTATGTTGTTTTGTCAGTGGATCTCATTGTTTTTAATATACAATACTGATCAATGCACATTTTTCTTTTACCAATACACAGGATTGTTCTTAATTATTTATTAATTAAACCTGATAAGATGTCAGAACTACGCTAACTGAGTGTATTAAAGAAGCTAAAGACTGGATGACCAACAATTTTCTTCTCTTAAACTCAGACAAAACAGAATTATTCCTTATTGGGCCAAAATCTTGTACACAGCAGATCTCACAACTCAACCTGCAATTAGAGGGATACAGAGTTAGCGTTAGCTCTACTATAGAAGACCTGGGTGTCATATAAGGCAGCGGTTTAACTTTTGAAAATCATATATCTCATGTCACAAAAACTGCCTTCCTTCATCTGAGAAATATCGCTAAGTTACTAAGTATGCTATCCATCTCTGATGCAGAAAAGCTAGTCCATGCTTGTATGACTTCTAGGCTGGATTACTGTAATGCTCTGTTTGCTGGCTGCCCAGCATCCTCTATGAACAAACTTCAGCTAGTGCAAAATGCAGCAGCCAGAGTTCCTACAAGGTCTAGAAAATATGATCATATCACCCCAATTTTATCCTCCTTACACTGGCTGCCTGTTAAGTTCATATTGATTTTAAAATATTGCTTCTTACCTATAAAGCTCTAAATAATCTAGATCCTGTTTATCTAACCAACCTTCTGTCTCACTACAATCCAACTCGCTCTTTAAGATCTCTAAATTCAGGGTTTCTCGTAGTACGTCAGGTAAAGGAGGTCGAGCCTTCTCATTTATGGCTCCTGAACTCTGGAATGGCATTCCTGATAATGTCCGAGGCTCAGACACACTCTCCCAACTCAACTTAGATTAAAGACCTATCTGTTTGGTTAAGCATACACTTCGTGCATCACTTAGCGGTATAATACATGAATGTGCTCCACGCAGGTTTCTGCATCTCTTTTATAAACTTTATGAACAGCAGCTACGCTAATTATTCTCTTTATTCTCCATTTCCACCTGGGGATACTCATCTCGAGGTCCTCAGACTATGCAGCGCCATTGATTTGATTTAAGACCAGCGGTGAGATGATCCCAAGGTTTCCATATCCTGGACCAGGCCATATACTGAGCAGCTGCTGTGGTGGTCATGGAGGAGCGGAGAGCATGAGACTGATTCCTGTGCCGCTCAGGGACAGACGAGTCTTCGCTGAGGTCCAGCTTCCAGCCTCCGGCACGTACTCTGCAGCTCTGCACAACATGTTTGGCCATAGGAGAAACGGTTGTGCCCAACTGAGCCTGGTTTCTCTCAAGGTTTTTTAATTCTTCACTTTTGCCAATTGGTGAAGTTGGTTTTTTGCAATGCCACTGGCTTGCATGGTTCGGGATCTGTAGAGCTGTGCATCGATGGATTTGCTCTTCAGTGTTTGGACCTTCAGTGGTGATTATTAAACCACACTGAACTGAGCTAAACTGAACTGAACTTAAACTCTGGAATTGTACTGTTTAATTTACTATGATCTGCTATGTTAATCTGCTTTGACACAATCTACATTGTAAAAGTACACGACGCAAATCAGATTTTTCCATCCGTAAAATAGCAAAAGTGGATTCGGACACGCCCTTAATGAGTTTGCGCATTGCAAAATAGAGCACTAAAACTAAACTCAACATAAGCATTTCCTACAACCCAAACGAAATCTGATATATAAACATAGTTAAAGGTGCAGTAGGTGATTGTCTTTAGAAGCATTTTTTTGTTGTGCTGATTAAAAGTCTCTACAGTCCAATAGTACTGATTACAGTAAATGATCTAAATGTGTTTATATGTATTTTTATATTCTGGGTAAAACATAAACTAAAAAATTTTCATCCAATTAAATAGAGTCGGACCGTCATCTCCCTTAATTCCGATATGCAGCATACTTCCGAGTCTGTCAGCAAATGTAGATTCGGACTTCTGCGCATCTCTTTTCACACAGATCCTCCATTAGCGCGTGCCCATCTGCTTAAGCAGATGCGCGGTCACGAGACATACTGGGAGAAATCAAATGCTGAATTGAAACTTTTGAAAATCCTAAATTAATATTGGAGTTACTTTACCACGCTGGAGGAAGGACGACACCATGGCTGAAGTATCACTGTTAGACAGGTCATGTTCTGTTTGAAAACTATTTTAGACAGGCTAAGCTTATGTTAGATTGTGTTCTGTTATGAATGACTAAAGGCTGATTTATACTTCTGCGTCAAACGCCGGCGTATGCTTCGGCGCTGACGCATAGCCCTTCGCTGACGTGCCCCTCTCAAAAATTGGAACTACACGTCGCAACGACGTGTAGCACAAGCTCTGTCAGTGGTCGGCTTGGTAGCGCTGACAAGTCTGGGCGGGACCGAGAGCCGTGCGAATGGTGCGAGCTGGACGCGAGCCCAATGGAGTGATTGTTTACAAGTGTGGAGTCCCGTGAAGGAGCTCCTGATGGAAAGTTTTGTTTTGCGTTTACCTCATAGTTAAAGTTGTTGCACGTCCGCCGGTTCCTGCCTCAAAATGAGCGAGTTTGAGTCACTTGTACAACCAGGAAGTGTTCAGGAAAAGCAAAACAGCAGAGAAGAAACTCGACACAGAGACACATTTACATCTCACTGCCAACTAGCGTTTCGGAAGTGTTAATGCAGACCGACACAGACAGTGTGCAGAAGTATAAATGCACAGCCACGCGCGTTGCATGCACCGTGGGTCACACCGGTCACTTGACGCAGAAGTATAAACCAGGCTTTATATGCACAGACGTGTTGTTCAGCCACTGAAATCTCCTGGTGAAAGATTGATGTGATTGTTTTCAGTTTCATGAGGTCCTTTTACAGCATCGGTAATGATTTATAAATAGATTTATATTTAGTTTAACAACAAAACATCAGTAAATAGCGCTAATCCGCCTAACCTGCTTTACTGAGCTGAAGTTGCTTTTATATTCACATTGGGTCATTTTTGAACAATGACAGCCTTCCTATACTGTTTACCATGCTACTCTGAATATTCGCTCTGAAATAGCATGTAAGTGTGGCTAAGTAATAATAAATGTAATTTCTGCACGGCGCTGGCACTAATTAACTGGCGAATGAACTAGTGGGTTGACGCGGTGTGCTCGCGATTTCAGGGGGTGTGGCTTTGAATCACAGTCCCTCCCCACCGTCCAAAGACAATTGGCTGCGTATGAAACCGCATACTTCCGTACTATATAGTACGCTAAAATCAGTATGCGAGCCGAGTAGTAAGTCTGAATTCATAGAATTCGAAAATCAGTATGCGAGAAGTACCCGCATGACTTACTACTTCCGGCGAGATTCTGGAGTGCACATCGCATGCATGCTGCGCTATCCCATGATGCCCCGCGAGCGAATTCATGAATGGGAGTAAAGCGACGCAATTGATGCAGGTAGGTCACGTGACTATAACAAAATGGCGGATGTAGTACGTCCGAATTCCATTCATACTTTTTACGTTCATACTGTATAGAGCGTACTTTTCTAACGACCGAGTAGTACGTTTAAATTCAAATGCAGTACCTACTGAGTAGTAGGAGGTTTCGGACGCAGCCTATATGCTAAGCGGTTAGCATATTGGCAGATCACCTACTGCACCTTTAATTTTTTTGAACAAACTGTAAAACATGCCGGGTTCCAGTTTCTTCATGATGTCCCAACACAAAATCTTTTAAATCAACTTACAAATTTACGTGGATTATACATAACACAGTTAAGTTGCCCCTCCCCAAAAAAAACCCTAAGAATTGTGATGTTCCAATTTATTTTAGGAAGTTTGAACAAGCAGCACATGCAGTTTTTGGGTGTATTTGTAATTCCAACGCAATTTTTGGAATTTGCTACTTGCTAGTAAAATTGTTAGTTGATGTTTCCCAGCACGGTGTTGGGTTGTGGCATGAAAGGGCATCCGCTGTGTTAAACATATGACAGAGTAGTTGGTGGTTCATTCCACTGTGGCGACTCCTAATCAATCAGAGACTAAGGAAAATAAATGGAATGAATGAATGAATAAAAAATAAGTTGCATGTATGACATTTTATATATGTAAAATCAGGTATGATTTGCATATATCACCATATGTCACATTCCTATATGGAAACATAAATATATAATATATAACTGTCCAAAAGTAATTTTCTGCAGGTTATATTGATTGTAAAATGAGCAAAAGTTAGTAAAAGAAAACCATTTGTCCAGTTAGGCACAGGTTCACAGCAGGCAGCATTTATCAATCACAATAAAAGCGAAAACAGTTTATTAAAATAAGGATGTAACAGCAATTGATCAACAATTCTGCTCCTACTGTCTGTAGGATCTGTGAAAAAATAAACATTTAACATTCCAGTGTTTATATGATCATATGTGTGCTCTTCCTTCTTCATCAGGGGGAAGTTTGTCTCCTCTCAATTCGACTCGACTTTCTTTTCCAGGGGTTCTTCAAGAAAACAAAGAAGCAAAGGTAAAAACATGGGAAGTGTTTTAATGTAACTTTCAATCTAACATTATCTGACTACACTCATTTACAAAATTAGAATGCTTTGAGGAATACCGGCCACTTTATTAGGTACACCTGTTCAACCGCTCGTTAACGAAAATTTTTAATCAGCCAATCACATGGCAGCAACTCAACGCATTTAGGCACGTGGACATGGTCAAGTCGATCTGCTGCAGTTCATACTGCGCATCAGAATGGGGAAGAAAGGAGATTTAAGTGACTTTGAACGTGGCACAGTGGTTAGTGCCCGATAGGGCTGGTCTGAGTATTTCAGAAACTGCTGATGTACTGGGATTTTCACGAACAACCATCTCTAGGGTTTACAGAGAATGGTCAGAAAAAGAGAAAATATCCAGTGAGTGACAACAACATGAAAGCATGGATTAATCCTGCCTTATATCAACATTTCAGGCTGGTGGTGGTGGTGTAATGGTGTGGGGATATTTTCTTGGCACACTTTGGGCACATTAATACTAATTGAACATCATGTCAACACCACAGCCTACCTGAGTATTGTTGCTGACCATGTCCATCCCTTTATGACCACAGTGTACTCATCTTCTGATAGCTACTTCCAGCACTATAACGTACCATGTCATAAAGCACGAATCATCTCAGACCGGTTTCTTGAACACAACAATGAGTTCACTGTACTCAAATGGCCTCCACAGTCACCAGATCTCAATCCAATAGAGCACCTTTGGGATGTGGTGGAACGGGAGATTGGCATCATGGATGTGCAGCCGACAAATCTGCAGCAACTGTGAAGCTATCATGTCAATATGGAGCAAAATCTCTGAGGAATATTTCCAGTACCTTGTTGAATTAGATTAAGGCAGTTCTGAAGGCAAAAGGGGGTCTAACCTGGTACTAGTAAAGTGCACCTGATAAAGTGGCCGGTATACACTCATATGCCCACATGAAAAAATACTATAGTAGTTTATAGTAAATACTGTATAGTGCATTGGAACCATACTAAAGTAGAGTACTTGAATCAATCTGTTGTGGTGATTCTAAGACTCAATACTGTAGATTTCAACAACTATAAAGTATATTATACTACAATACACTGCAGTTTACTGTAGTAAAAACTAAAGTACACTACAGTATTTATTACAGTTTGTCAGTTAATACTACAGTATGCTAAATCATTCATCAACAAAAAGTTGTAAACACTATAATTTATACTGTACAATACACTTTACTAGAGTATGGTTGAAAAACACTGTAGTATTACTATAAAATCACTCATTCATTCATTTTCCTTCAGCTTAGTCCTTTAATTATTAGGGGTCGCCGCAGCAGAATGAACTGCCAACTATTCTAGCATATGTTTTACACAATGGATGCCCTTCCAGCTGCAACCCAGTACTGGGAAAATAATTAATAATTACTATAGTATTTTATTTTTCACGTGAGTGGGGTTATTTGCATGAACCTTTACTATACATTAGGACACTGACAAATTGGCAGACAGAAAAAAAAACAGCTTTTTAAATATGCTGCATCTAGGGGTGTCGAAATCGATCAAAATTTATGCTCAATTTCGAATATCGAATCAAAAAATAGAATCGTCGATGCTGCCACGCCCCCATGTCACGTCAGCTTGGCTTGCCAAGCGGGAAAAAAACAGGCTTGTTGATGTGCTTGTTAAACTGCAGAAGCAGGAGACCCGTCGACAGAGCTTAAACCCTCTCCTCTTTCAATGAAGTCGCCGGTGTATAAGCATTTTGGATTTCCAGTGAGTTATGTTGACATTGTTCGTGTTGTCGACAAAAAAACACAGTTTTGCAAGCTCTGCTATGTACGTTTTACGTACGGTTCGTCCGATAGACAACACCGGCATCGCGATCCTCCGCCCGCCACCGTTGCAAATCCGCTCGCGAAAAGTACACACTCAGGCCCTGTTTACACTGCCTTTGTTTTTGAATGGCATTTTAGAACGACAACGATTTGACATCCACAGTGGCGTGTAGCATTTCTGAGCAGCCCTCCTTCCTCTCTACCTCTGACACACACACAGACGCACACACACAGCCATGGGCTCGAGACAGCTGGTTCAGGCAGTCAGAGGATCAGTAGACTGCTTCAATCTTTCACTCACTTGTACTTAGTCATTTTAGCGAACACCTCAGATACTGTTGGCTGGTTCCTGTTGGTTGTGCGTCTTTTTTACCGACGCCATTATAACGACACAGATCACTGCCTATTCACGAGTCCCGCAGAAAAAGTGATTGATTGTGGTAATTATGTGTGTATCTTGCCTTTATTCATTTACTGCATGATTTGTTTATGGGTAAAACAAAGACCATGCAGGTCAGGTAGTTTAAACGGTAGGCTACAAATAATAAATTGGTCATTAATTATTCTTAATCGAAAATCCAATCGAATCGTGCCTTTAGAATTGAAAATGTAATCGAATCGAGATTGGAGGATCGTGACACCTTTAGCTGCATCTGATTGCCGTTTAAATTGTAGTTTACTAGTAAAAGCCGCAAGACGCAGCCTACTCACATTTTTTGGTAAGTCTCTTTAAGAGATTGCTATTACATTGACTCAATATACTCACTTTAGCAACAACGCTGAACGTCTTGGAGATCCTCTGTCCTTCACTGTTTATGCACAGTTTATAATATCCAAAGTGTTTCTGTGTGATTTTTGTGATGGTCAGAGATCCAGTCCTCTGGTTCAGCTTCACGTCTTTGAATATATCTCCATTAAACAGGTTTTGCTTGTTGTTTGTTTTATCCCATTCAGCGATGACCACAAATGGAGAGCGGCCGATTTCTCTGTATTCAGCAAACGTCCACCAGACCAACTCGTTGTGCTGGATTTCAGGGATTCCAGTATTTAGTGTAGCCGAATGTCCCACCATCACTGGCACTGAGGTAATTTCATCTCTCTCAAGCATATCTGTGGAAAAATCGGACAGTTTATCAAACAGAGGTCAGCATTTAGTTTTAACAATAAATCGACATCTAATGTTTTTATGTTAAAGTCTGCATGTAATCAGAATTTGCAATGTTTATTTTACTAGCACACATTGTTGGTCAATAAAGGGTCACGAAACACCAAAACACATTTTTTGAGCTGTTGACAGTCATATATGTGTCCCACACTGCTAAAAACACTATTAGGACACCTATATTTCACTAAAAAGTGTAAATTGGTTATTTTTGCGTTATTTCAAGCAAATTCATACTTCCCGTTTGAAACGAATTTTTGAAGCTGCGTCACGGTCATGACATAATAGCGTGTATTCCAGCGTGCAGACTGGACGTCTGTGCCAGAGTGAGTCTTATTACGTCTTACAGTGTGATGCATTAATGCATGAGTAAGGCTTGGTTCAAACCAATCAGCGAGCTCTATTGTGCAACTTCATTAATATTCATTACTATCACCGTGTTTTCAGGACAGAGACGCCACGTTGTGTTGGCAAAACAAGCGTGAAGTGTTGCTTTTATAGTTTGCTGCAGTTAAGTTTCGTTTTCATTTTCTCTCTGTGAGAGCTCAGCTGGAGTCACGTGTGGATTAACAGTGTACGCGACGCTCGACAACAATAACTTACGTGTCTAAGGAGGATTATTGTTTACCTGAGAGCTGTTCTCATCTGCAAACGCTGAGATCTGGATTCGTTTGTAGTATTCTCTTCATAAAGAAGCGGCTCTAGTTGCTGGTGATTGTCCTGTCTCTACAGATTTGGTAAGTGAGCGACCAGTGCTCTTTGTTTATTCAGTTTGTTCGTATCTAACAAACTATTGCACAGAGTGTAAACACGTTAGCACCACAACCAAACTTTAACCTCGTGTAGGGTTTTTACCGCATTTAGTGACCGGAATAACACGCGCGGCTTTCTGACACTACCTGCCGTGTGCATCTAAGTTTCTGGGAAATGCAGAGGGTTTTTTTTTCTCTCATTCGCCGTGCGGTATAAAACATTGCAAACATTACAGCAGTTCCTCGAATCAAATATCTCGTGTGTCGCGAGGGGCATGAATGAATTCCCTGAATGAAAGAGCCAAACTGCAGTTAAAGTCCAACATTTAATAATTTGGCAAATAATTCGACTACAGATGTCCATGTAGGTTAAACACCATCACTTTCTCATGTATGTGTGTGTGTGTGTATTTTGACTCTGAAACTCGCGCGTGCCCAAATAGACACTCCCACACCATCCCACTTTTCTTTCTCCGACACTCCCCCCTAAACAGAGCTAGACACGCCCACTTTTCTGACTTTTTCCAAAGTAGAGGTGTGAAAACACCCTGCTGAAACGAGGGGGTTTCATGGCCCTTTAAGGCTTGCTCACACCAAGCATGACAACTGTAAATATAACAATAAACATATCAGAGTCCACACTGATGAATGATAAAGAAAAAAATATTTTAATATATTTTGCATTACTCCCCCTTGTGGCCAGCAGGTGTCCTCAGTGTGCGACTAGCACATTTGACCAGTGAATCCAGCTCATGTAATCAATCTTATCAATGAATTTAGCAATCGCTAACAAAAACAACACACTGTTTTCCACAGCATTCACAAAGGATACAACACAGATGCTGAAACTAGCACTGTATGCCTGAGAGACTTTTATTGTTATTGACTATGATTTATTTTTAATAATTTTTAAGATTTATTGGTATAAATAATTGCTTTTCAGATAGTTGTTATCATTAAATAATCGCTAAAAAGGGCTTAACATTGAGCTGAACTTCCTCGCAATTCTGTCTGTAGCTTTAAATTGTGCAAGCCGTTTATATTGCATTGGATTAAGATTGGCTGTCAGTGTTTCATGGTTTATTATCTTATAAAGATTTATTAGTGATGGGTCGTTCATGAACAATTGGTTCTTTTTGAACGAATCTTCAATATGACTCGGGAACTACGAGTCCTCTTAATGAGTGATTCGTTCATCCGCACGTGGGCACATTTGTGCAGGTAGTATCGTTAATTTCAAGTCTTCATCACATTGGCAGAAGCCAATCATATGCGTATAGAGCCGGAAAAAGAATTGATCCGCTCACCTCTCGAGTCCTCTATTGGGTCTGAGTCCCTCGTTCTTCACGAGCCAATCTTACGCGTTTAGAACCGGAAAAAGTTTTGATCCGTTCATCTCTCGATTTCTTTATCAGGTCTGAGTCACTCGTTCCTCACGGGCCAATCATACACGTTTAGAGCCGGAAAACGAACGATCATGGCTCCTATCGGCTTAGACTGTGCATTGATTAAGATTATATTATGACTGTCAGTGTAACGTGAATGAACCCCTGATATTTGAAGACAAGAAGAGGTGAGACAGAAGAGCAGGTAAACATTGAATTATTATTTTCTCCTTGTTATATTCTACTTTTGACTTATTTGTCTTGCAATCAACCTTTTGGGCTAGTTGTAGATGTGTTTGGAAGCAATTCGTAACATTTCAATAATATTTTGGCAAATTGAACGAAATGACTCGAAAAAAGATTCGTTCATCTTGATGAACGAGACTCAAAGATCCAAGTCAGTAAAATGATCCGGACTTCCCATCACTAATATGTATAATTGTTTTGAAAGTGTTCCCAATTATAAATCATTCTTATTTATCTTCTCTTATCTTATTTATCCAATTATTGTTTTTCTACATCTTTATCGTTATATCGAACTCTGTTGTTGTTTTACAATCAGAACATTTTTTAGAAGTCTATTGTTATATTTATTGGTATCTTTATAGTTATTGTGCTTGATTTAAATGGGCCTTTAGGCCTCCTCTGCCATGTTAATGTAAAAAAAAAAATTGCTATTGTAAATGCGCACTAATCAAAGCTATTAGATGAAAAGGCGAAAATCGTTAGCTGAAAAGGTGTAATGAATATTGTTAATGGCAGTATGTGAGGAAGAAGATCAAAGGCCATTTTGTTTTAAAGGAGAAGAGGCGTCACTACACGATATAAACAGCTTTTGTAAGGAAATAACTTGTCAGTTAATCAATTGAAAGCCTGTTTGCTAATCTTCAACATGTTTTACACTTAGCAACACATTCATGGTGAATAAAAATGTACATTTTACCCTAATAAAAATGATATTTTTTTAAGAAAAGTCAGGGTAGGGAATGCGTCAGCTAGGTCTGTCAACTGTGAACGCTGACCAGTGGCATTAATGCCGTTACATGATTGGCTGAGGAGCCTTGTGGAATCCATGTTAGCAGTTATTAGTGAATAATACACAGATTTCCATCTCCATATGGATTAGAAAATCTCTGCACTATTTTCCCCAGCATTTTCAAATGCTGCAACACAGAGGCGCTAAAACTAGCACTGGATACCTGAGGTACTTTTATTTTGATACTTCAATTTGCTAGCCTGGCTTGCAAAAAAATCCATGTATTATTTATTATTCTTCACTATGGTATAATTAATTGTTGTCCAGATAGTCATTACCTATACAAATATCGTAGAAAAGAGGGTTTAACATCAGGCCTTTAGGGGGCATTCACACAGAAAATTGTGAGACGCAGCATTTCAAAATAGTTTTTAAAAAGCTCCTCCTCCACTATGTTAATGTCAAATAAAACAGTTGTCATGACAACTTGCTACTGTAAATAAAAGCTTGCATCGCTTAAAAATGCATCTACATAGCCACATTCAGTTTACGCTGACTGTCAACAGGCTGGCGAAACAATATATATTTGCGGTTTGTTTTGTATAATCTCTTGTGTTAACTTTTTGACCAAATTGGACCGATTTGTAACCAATTCCAGTGGAACTGATAACGCATACATGTTCATTGTAATGACATTTAATGTCAACAACCATATAAAGTCAATTGAAAACCTTCTATTAATCAGGTGAACAGTAACTTACCAGCAACTAGCCCGTCCTCCTCATCATCACTCATTTTTGCACTTGCTGAAAATAAACACCACTATTAATCTCCTGTATAATAATTTCTATCAAAATAAAACAACAGAGAGGTTCATTAATACAGTATTTTACCATTGTCTGACTGATCACTGTTCCCAGACACTACACCTAAAATAGTAAAAAAAAAATACAACTAATTAATTAAATTAATAAAACATTCCAACCCAGGCTCATTGTGGAAACGTAGTCCCGCGGACGTTTCTAGAGACCGCGGAATACGTCCCGGCGGGTACGTACGGCTGCAGTTTTTGTTTTTGCGAATCCGCGAGAGGCCGCTGTTGTGTGATTTTTCTCATCTTGAACGTCTCTCACGAGTGCGGTTCGCGCACGCGCTGTTCTCACGTCAACCCGCCAGAGACCGCTGTCCGATTGACCGGATGATTGACTGCACGACCGGCCAATCGGCTGACCGCCCTCCTCTTTCCCTCAACCCAACCAATTTTACCGATTGACCCGCCCGCCCGCTCGCTTCCCCTAAACCCAAGCAACAGTTTACAAAAGCCGGCCAAAAAAAGAAAAGCCCTGATTTTTTTTTTCTACCGCGTTTTCGGATTTCACCGCGTTCTCACCCTGTTATGAAACTCCTTCACTTAATTTTTGGGATTCTGTTTTTGTCTTACCTGATTGCTGGAACTGCTCTTCCCCGGACTCAAAACCGATCGATCGCCGTGGTCAACTCCTCCTCTCTGCATCTCGAGCCTGCCGACGTTACACGGTGAGCTGAGTGGACAAACGGGTTGCAGCGGGAAAGCCCTCTACAAGGAGGTAAGCGGTCGGCCGGCAAGCGCAAAAGGGAACAGCGTCACACCGCCCCGCAGCGTTCACTTGAAAAAAATAAATGCAGCCATACGTACCTCCCGGGACGTATTCCGCTGTCTCCAGAAACGTCCACGGGACTACGTTTTCAGAATGAGCTTGGGTTGAAACATTCTTATATTGTTTATTTATTTTCACTTAAAAATTATGAAAAATGTTGGATTTATTTATAAGCAGAATACCCCCATGAAAAAGTACTACAGTAATTACTGTAGTGTTTTAAATTGTACTATAGTAAAATGTTATATACTAGATATCATAGTATTTACAACACTTTGATATTGAATGCTCCAGCATACCTATAGTGAACTGATAAACCATAATAAATACTGTTGCATACTTTAGTTTTTACTACAGTAACCATTGTTGTATTTTAAAAGCCTTTGTTGCCTGTTCGAGTTTTAGGAACAGTAAATAATAACTTGACTTGTTGTTGATTGTTTGGTATCAGAAGTGGTTTATATGAAGTGCAAACGCCTCAAGATTATGCTTATTTTACCAGAATAAAATATGATCATGCCTTGATTTTGAATGATTTAATTAGGACAGCAAGGTCTGACTTTGCTTAGACAAAAGTCTTGTCACTTAACAGAAATAATGTCCAGTATTAAATATAAAATCATGGTGCAGTGGAGACAGAAAGAATATTGTGTCTGACTCCATCATGAGCTTGGAGGACTGCATCCATATTTCTCTGCAATGACTGATTCACAAATCACTGATTAATAAAGTCATCTGGAATGCCAAAGAAAGCGTTCATGCAGGACTCCCAGAGTTCATCAAGATCCTTTGGATTCATCTTCAATGCTTCCTCCTCCATCTTACCCCATACATGCTCAATAATGTTTATCTATGGTAATTGGGCTGGCCAATCCTGGAGCACCATGACCTTCTTTGCTTTCAGGAGCTTTGATGTGGAGGCTGAAGTATGAGAAGGAGCGCAATCCTGCTGGAGAATTTGCCCTCTCCTGTGGTTTGTAATGTAATGGGTAGGGCCAGACGGAATCTGCGGACATTTTTTGCTATTTCTGCGGAGAATTTTGGTAAAAATCTGCGGATTCCTGCGGAATTATTTTGGGAGTATCCAGCAAGTATCATAACTAAAACCTTAATATATGAAATAAAAAGTAATAAATTATTGAATAAAAACTGAATAAATTCAGATTTACACATTTACTCAAGTAAATAAACAGAATTAATGATGTTCTAAAAATCGTCAGAAAATCTGCGGAATTCTGCGCGTGCAGATTCCGTGTGGTCCTAGTAATGGGCAGCACAAATGTCTTGATACCTCAGGCTGTTGATGTTGCCCTCCACTCTGCAGATCTCTTGCATACTGAATAAAACCCCAAACCCCAAACTTGACTGATTTCATGAGGATCTTGGGTCCATGCGGGTTCCAGTAGGTCTTCTGCAGTATTTGTGATGATTGAGATACTCAACAGATAAATCATCAGAAATATCGACCTTCTACCACTTTTACAAACGATCAACTAGAAGTCAAGTTATTATTTGTTGCTCTTACAACTGAGATCGACGACAAGACTTTTGTCAGGTAGTGTACATTACTATAGTATTTTATCATGTGGGATACAGCTAAATCACACAAATATAAACAATAATATTACATCTCACCATTAGTTAGTCCAATAAATTCCTCCCCATCAGGTCGTTCTGTAAAAATAAAAACACAATTTCAACAATGTTTAACTGTTATTTTACACAGTTTTAAGTATTTTCTTTAGCAAATTCTGCTGTACGAGTAATACATACCGTGATAACTGGCTTGTTTAGGCGTCCTGCGATGATGACGATAGTAATAGCAAACACCACACAAAACTATTATCAAAACTGAAGCCACGGCACAAAAGCAGATCACCAACGCTATATAACCAGAGGACAAATCTGGCGCTATAATGAAAAGAGCAGTTTCGTTATTGTAAGAGACATTGTATTAAAGATTATAATTTAATCATAGTGTGTTGATTTATTATATTTTGGGTAACACTTTACAATAAGGTTCATTAGTTACTGCGTTTACTAACATGAACTAATCATGAACAACACATTTACAGCATTTATTAATCATAATTAAACACTTACTAATGCATTATTAATATCCAAGTCCATGCTTGTTAACATTAGTTAATGCACCATGAGTTAACATGAACTAACAATGAACAACTGTATATTCATTAACTAACGTTAACTAACATGAATAAATACGGTAGTACATGTACTGTTCATTGTTTGTTCATCTTAGTAAATGTTAGTAAATGCATTAATTAACATTAACTAATGAACCTTATTGTAAAGTGTGACCATATTTTGATATGTTTAGTTTAGTGTACATATGTTGATCTTTCCCCCGGTGTTTGGGTTTGTGATGGTTTGCTCCAGGGCCGGAGTGGGACTCTTTTTCAGCCCTGGAGTTTCAACCCTTAGGGTGCTTTCACACCTGCGAATCGATTCAGTTGTTCCGAAGCAGGGATTAAAATTGTTACATTGTTGCTCTTTGCTCTTGGAGCGGTTCGCTTTCACACTGCAAAGTTTCTAATCGGACCAAAAGAGCTAAAACAAGTCACGTGCGAGTAAACTCTCCTCACATTGGTCAGAGTGTCAGGGTTTAATTTGCAGCGTCCCGCTCAGCTGTCAGGAGAGGTGGTGGTTTGGTGGTGATTGACAGGGTGCGCGCGCGTGACGTGTCTGAGGAGAGACGCGGTGGGGAGGGGTGAGAAGGGTGCGCGACGATGCCTATTTGAGGACAGGGAGAGAGACGCGAGATTAACGGGAGATCATCACTCGTTTGCGGGCATCCGGAGACTCACGAAACTTCCCGCCCTACTCATAATTCTCTCTTCATATAGCCGTAAGCCTATTACATATCCATAAAACACTGTGATATAACCGCGCTCGGATCGGATCGCTTTCTCACTGCAATCGAACCGCTCCAGGGTTCGTTTCAATCGAGCCGAGACCACCTCATTCAAGCGATCTCGGAGCGATTACTTTGGCGCGGAACAGAGCGCGATTGCCCTGTTCACATATGCCAAACAAACTGCGCTAACTAGGCAATCGAGACACGTTCCGAAACAAAAGTGTAGGTGTGAAAGCACCCTTAGACCGGCCCACCTCAGTTCACCACTGACTATATTAAAGTAAGGACTTTTCCAATTCAGTTTCTAATAACACTATCACGTCTTTTTTTTGAGAAAACAACTGCTTTAGAACTTCAAATGTTCAACAATCCTTACAGTATTATATGTCTTAACAATAAAAATGAAAATAAAAATATGTTTCTCAGGCGAGGACCGAACCCGGGTTGGCGGCGCCATAACCTGACGTGCTAACCACTGTACCACAACAGCTGTACATTGAGAAGTGACTTATCTACTTACATCTATCTACTTATATTGTTCACGAGGCTACGAGAAAATAGTTAAAAAGAGCAGAGCTGCGGTAAAATAATGAATAAGAAGACTGTGGTCAAGTAAATAAATATTTATTTTTAAAAAGTGTGACTGCTGAGAGCGACAGATTCTGGAGCTAGGGACACCAGCCCTCATGGCCAAAAAACGCAGCAGCCCACCGGGAATTCTCCCGGTCCTCCCGATTAGCCAATCCGGGCCTGGTTTGCTCCGCTTATTATTGGACTATTTTACAGTCCCGTGAAATGGTTTAAAATGTGCATTTGTTTGATGTTCACGGGAAATAAAGTAGCCCCTCCCCCTTAAAAAAAACACAGCCAATAACATTTTGTTTGATCATCACTCTGCCAGTGAGAGTGGTTAAGCTAAAGTGCATCAAATGAAAAGAAAATGAGAAACATCTTGAAAGGGGCGGGGCATCTCAGATGCTAGAGAGCTTTTGATTGGTCAGAAGATTTGATGAGAAACTGAAGTATGGGGTGATGTCAAAACAATCGTTGATCCATTTAGACAGAATGCATTTTTTGAAGGTTTATATCTGAGAAATGTGCATTTCGGCAGTTTTTTTGGAGCACAATAGCTTATAGATATCCTTAAGACTAACATACTGATACTAACATCTTTAAAAATTATTTAATTTCACAGGGAGATTATCCAAATTGATTGGTTGATTGATTTATTTGATTGGTTGCTTGGTTTTCTGTTTGCAAGAGCATCCAGTAAACCTTTGAAACTTAAACGAAACAAATTGTTTGTCTGGATGATTTTAGAAATTACTGATAATAGTTATTCCAACTGAATCAGTATGAAAGTTGTTAGGTGAAATAAAGTGAACAAGACCAATGGAGATCTGCTGTACCTGAACATGGCTGACAGAGTGTGCTGATGTCCAGATGTGTGGTCTGATTGCTGATGGGGTTGTCGATCACACAGCTGTAGGTGTTGCTATCCTGATATTCCACCTCCAGAGGTAGAGAGAGACTGATGCTGAGATCAGACACACTGATGCTGGACAATACACTGTTTCCTTTGTTCCAGGAGAGACTCACAGCGCTCACATTCACCACTGAACACAGCACTGAACAATAGTGCACTGATGAAGATGAGGAACATTGAGAAAAGTTGAAGATGAGGACAGGAACAGGCAGATGAGCTGCAAAACGGTAGAGAATAAAGAAAGTATGTTTAATTTTTCAGAAGAGTGGCAGTCCAGGGTTGAAATTTCAAGAATATCATGGAAGTTTAAAAGGTCTATATACATTTATAACCTTTTTTTCTTAATGTTTCACTTTTGTTATGTTAAGAAATTAGACAATTTTTATCAGGAGACATTTTAAAGAAAATATTTTAATCTATAAAAACTTGGTAATCATTTGGTATCATTTTAAAGAAAACCCTTTGAATCTTCATAAAACACTATTGAAAGTGTTTAAAATAACTGTATATGTCATCTGTGTTATAATAAACACCTAAAAAAAGAGGCGCTTTTTGTATTATTTTTTTTATAAACTCAAATTTAAAAGTGTACCTTTTAGGTTCTGTGTGGTCTAGCGCGCTGTAATTAATTTTGTTGGTTCCTGCAAATGTCTGTAATCATAGGAAAAAAGAAAAACGTCTCTACCATAATCTATGCAAAAGTTATTGCATTCCAACTGATAAGAGGCGCTGTACAAGCCACAGAGACCGATCATTGTTTTCATATTTCACTATTCTTTTGTTTGATCAAACATAATTTACTGTGTTTGGACCACATCAGACGTATAAAAGGATTACTTGCGCACATCACCTCAACAACAGAGGAGAATGGCCCTGAAGCGCACAGCATAAGGTAAGAGATGACGGCTGTCTGTGCTATCTGGGGCTGCTTAGTGATCATAAATGTATTGTTTACATTTCTGCGCCATGGAAACACCGCGATTCATTCGGCAACTGTTTGATATGTGAATATAATTTAGTAAAAAGAATGCTAGAACTGTATGAGCACCGGCAAGAGCTTTTATTCGAGCTATAACTTGTACATGTGTCATATAAAAAATATGAAAATGAACCAATGTAAAATACCCAGCTCGGGTATCCAAAATACTGTGTATTTAAGTGTAAATAACTTTTATACAGTATAATAAAAACCAAAGTGATGCGTATGTGCATAAAATATAAATTCTACACTTTCAAACGGAACCACTTACGGGGGTCTGGTGCAACGCTAGCCCTTTAAATCTGAAAGCGAAAGACGATGACGTCACGAGTTTAAGTGGTTAAAAACAAGAAAAAATTAAAAGGGGGGCTAATAATTCTGATTTCAACTTTATATATAAGCACAACATGCAGCAATCTGTTTTTAACTTCATTAGTTGTCTTTCCAATGGAAATTCAGCTTTTTAGTCAGTGAAAGTGAGGGAATAGTGAGGAAATATGAAATTTGGGTTAAGGTGTGAAGCCTGGCAGTTTAATAAACGTCATATGAAATGCATTTATCGACTCACTGGAAACAATTATGCTGAATGTCTTGGCTGGAGCCTCATTTCCGCCAAAGGTCTGTATTTGGTAAACTCCAGCATGTTTCATTACGATGTCTGCGATGGTCAGAGATCCAGTTTGTTCGTCTAGTTTCAGTCTGTCTCTGAATCTCCCATCAAGGGCATCTTCGTATATCGAGACCTTATTGACAACATTGTTGATCTGAGCTATGCGAATGCCGTCCGCTCCAAACGTCCACGTTATCAGCTCAGCTCTCTGTATTTCGGTAAAATTAGCATGTAAAGTGACAGAATCTCCCTCCATCACTGACAGCGTCTTCATTTCACCTGTAACACAGAAGACGCCTGTAGAACAAAGACAGTTTGTGAAATGCGATCAATATTATCATCGATTGGAGTGGCATGACAGTGAATAAATGACAGAATTTCTTTGACATTTTTTGGTGAACTGTTAATTTAAGTCATCCAGCAATCTTGTTCATCTAATTCTGTTTTTACAGGTCTAAGACCACATTTGAAGTCCCATAGGATATTAGCCCCTTTCACACAGTGATACCGGTAAATATCCGGAAAATTTCCGGAACGACTTTACCGGTATATTCAAAAAAGCGCTGTTCACACAGGCGAGGACGTTACGGAAATTTTCCGGAAAAGAGCATTCACACATCCATTCCAAAATACCGGTAAATTCTGACATCATTCACCACAAATGAGCTTTAAACGGCTGCGCTTGTATTTGTAAACATTTGACTAAATTACAAACTCTCTGGATGATCAATATTGTGAACAACTTTCGCAGGATCACTTTCGCATGTCGAGATGTTCATAATATGTGCGTGTGCAGGCGCTCACAGGCTGTTTCACAGGCACACGCAAAGCTTGAAGGTAAACAAACAACGGCTTATCATAAGCATCTCATCGATGATTATTTACACAGTTGACATTAAGAAGAACATATAAACGTGATCTGACTAACTTCTAGCAGCTAAATGTGTCTGGAAAAATATTCAAAGGCTTTTATCCTCACAAACCGCGCGGACGTAAATGCGTCTGACTGTTGTGATTGGCTAAAGCAGACGTCTCACGTCAGCACGTTCTAGACGTGCACGCGCTTATTACGGGAATCTTCCTTCTGCATTCACACAGCGCAGCATTCCGGCAAATTGCCGGTAATGTTACAACTTCTTTTTCCGGAAAATAGCCAGAACGAATTTACCGGTATTTTCAAAAAGGACCTGTTCACACATACAACCTTTCCGGAAAATTGCCGGCAATTTTCCGGAAAGGTCTGTATGTGTGAAAGGGGTTATTGTGTGAATACTGAATTAACTAAATGTTGACCGGAAAATGAAAGCACCCTTAAAACTCATCCTAAGATGCACCCTTACGGGAAAATCTGGCAATGAAACCTGTAAGGACCAGTTGGACCCTCACAAGGTCATTAGGTATGTTTTAGTCCTATACATGATCATTTTTTAAATGTTTTTTTTTTTTATCGTCAAGGGGAACTGAATAAAGCAAAATAATAGTATTCACTAAAATAACTTTTAGTAATTTTGTTTTACATTATTTGACAGTACATGTAATTTTCATATCAGAAAATAGCTTTTATATTTAACAATACTTTTCTCTTTCCACAGACACTGTAAAAAAAATTCCTAAACACCATAGTGTCTGAGGTGTGATCTCTCATCGCAGAAAATGCAACAAAAAATTCCTCCACTTTAAGGATACAGCATCAGCGCTATGTTTGGTTTAATGTGTTTTGTTACGCATGTTTTTTCCTGTTTGATTGCACTTTACTTCACACTGTTGTACATTGTTAATTGAAAAAGCCGTGCATTTATTTGTGTTTGTAATGTACTTTTACAGCATATTTGTAATAAAATGTAAATACATTATTCTGAATGATGTTGTTAATTGTTGAAATAAAGTAGGTCTTGTAGTACTCTGCAAACGTATAGAAAGTATAGTAATAACACAATGTAAAATGTTTAATGTAAAGCTTAAAATATTCTTCTACTAGGCTTAAAATATACTTTTACTAGTTTTAAATTGCACTTTAGGTGTGCTTAAATTATACTTTATCACAACTTAAAGTATACTTCAACTGGGCTTATACTATACTTTAATGCACTGCAGCTGGGCTGAAAATACACTTTATCTAAACTTAAAATATACTTTAACTGTGTTTTAAATATACTTTAACTGTATTACAAGTACATAATTTAAATGTACTTTAAATAAAATACACTTTTAAAAGTACACTTTAATTGTACTCAAAGTATGTCCATTTTAACACAACTAAGTATGTTACAACATATTTTAAGTAGCTTAAAGTTAATCTTAAGT